GTGTATATGTAGGGAATTTATAGGGAAATATGTACTTTATGGAATAAATTTTAAGAACTAAAATATATTTTATTTTAAATAAAGTAATGGACCTTTAATCTTACACAGCTAAATTACTGATTATATATTTGCTGAGCTGATTTAAGGGTTAAAAAAATTGTATCAAGAGTTTTATTTTTTGACTTCAAAGCCTTCTTAATAAAGCCTCTTTTCTACATGTGAGCTCACGGCCTCAGCGTGGTGTGGGGGGTGGGCGCCAGGGGGGCAGCCCCGGGGCAGGGGACACTGGGATCCAGCCCCCCACCCCCCACCCCCGGTTCCGTGGTCCAGGCTCTTACCCCCAGGCAGGCACTGTCTTTTGTTCCAGAAGAAGGGTTCGGGTCTGTGGGGGCGGGTCTAGCTGGGCTCCCCCTGAGCAAACCTCAGGTCCCCCACGTCCCAGTGGGTGTCCAACCATGGGTTCCACGGAAAAAGGGGACTCGGGCTGTCCCTCCTCGGGGACCTCTGCCCAGCTCTGTGGGTGTGTGGGACCCATCCCAGCAGACCGTTCGGCAGTCGTGCAGATGGGGAAACTGAGACCTGGAAATGACCATCTCAGGTTTGACTCCTACTTCTGGTCTGTGAAGGACGTTTGAGCCGTGATCATCCCCACAACGCTCTGGGAGCCTTGACACGTGGGGCCACCAGATGGCGCTCGTCAGGGCTGGGGTCGAGTCTGGGAGGAAAACGCAGCGAGACCAGAGGCCGGACTTGCGGTGAGCAGAACCCGTCCCAGAGCGGCGAGGAAGCCCCTGGGTGGCTGGATGGGCCGCTCTGGGGACAGGGCAAGGCCGGGCATGCAGGCTGCAGGCTTGGGGAGGGGCCTGGGGCTTAGAACCCACTAGGAAAGAAACACGTGAGCCTGGGCGCCTGTAATCCCAGCACTTTGGGAGGCTGAGGCGGGTGTGTTGCAAGGTCAGGAGTTCGAGACCAACCTGGACAAATGGTGAAACCCCCGTCTCTACTAAAATTACAGAAAAAAATAGCTGGGTGTGGTGGTGCATGCCCGTAATCCCAGCTACTCAGGAGGCTGAGGTAAGAGAATTGCTTGAACCTGGGAGGCGGAGGTTGCAGTGAGCCGAGATAGCGACTTTGCACTCCAGCCTGGGCGACAGAGTGAAA